GAAGATAGAGACCATGTTATCGTAGTACTATTCATTACGATATCCAAAGTAAGGCACAACAAAACTAACTAAGGCACCTAACTGCTGGTCAGGAGATCAAACCAGTCCATCCTAAAAGAAATCAATCCTGAACATTCATTGGAAAGACTGATGCTGAAGCTCCAATACTCTGGCCACCCCATGCAAAGAGCCAACTCACTGGAAAAGACCCTAATGCTGGGGGAGAAGGGGACAACAGAGGATGAGATGGTTAGATGGCATCACCAACTCAATGGACATGAGCTTGAGCAGTCTCCAGGAGACAGTGAAGGACAGGGAAGCCTGGCATGCTGCAGTCCATGGGGTTACAAAGAGTTGGATACAACTGAGCAACTAAACAACAACTAAATATTTACTAAATGAATAAACTACTAAAAATTAGGAAGTTCTGGAATGCCTGGTATAAAAGACTCTGATCTGTTTTTTTCCGAAAAATATAAAGTCAAGTTAAAAGGTTATATAACTGTAGACACTAGCAAGGAAAGACTGACGGAGGGAGATGATAAAAGTAGTGGAGCAGTCAACTCCTTTTCCTGTATAAACATGTTGGTGCTTTTAGCCCTCTTCAAGTAGGGCCAAGCATTCCAAAGGTGTTCCAGGAGGCCATAGGATGTGGTGGAGGTGCTCAGTAGACCAATGAGAGGCATGAAGAAATAAATTTACTTTGCTGAGAAAGGAATCTAACTAGGGAGATAAGGAACAGGGAAGGAGAAAGAAGAGGAGAGATTATAAATCTAATAAATGTATAGTAACATTTCAGAGCTATCCAAAACTTTTACAAGTACTTCTAATTAAGAAAAAAATATTTTTCAAAAAAAATATTAGTCTGAATAAGCAAAAAATATGAACATGAATGACTTCCTCATTTTTTTCTTGGCAGTCCAATTAGAAACCCGAGGGACCAAAGATGAAGCCAGAGGTCCCAGAAGAGAGGAAGGTACAAATAAAATCAAGATCACTGAAGGGTGACTCTCACAGTTGGTGAATTAGGGGAAAAAGTTTTAAAATCCCACAAAGGGAAATGGTAGAGACACATGGCTGATTCCACCAAGATTTAATTTTTTTTTAAATAATGGCAAGCAAGGAAAGTGATAACCAAATAGGCTGCATAAAACAAAAATAGATTATACAGAATAAAAATAAAGTTTAATTTTGGACTTCAAAAAACACAAAAAGTAGGATCTATTTCATAAAGGAGGTACTCTAAAGCATTCTAATATTCTTACATTACTTTGAACAAAGTTATAAATATTGATAGGATTTGGACTTCATTTTAATTGATGTTAAAATTTCTGGAGTAACCACAAAAAGAACAGAAAAAGAACATACAACTCACAATTAAGTAGAGGAAAAAAAGTAGAATGGGAAGGAAGGAAGCTCAATTCATCTAAGAAAAGCCAAGGAAAGAGGGAAAAAACAAAATACAACAGAGAAACAACAAATTGAAGCACAAAATATAATGGAAGAAAAATGAAACACATCAGTATTCATAACAGCATTCATAACAAAAAAATTTAAATAATAAATATACTGTATTAGGCATGCTAACCAAAAGAAAGCTGGTATGGCTGTATTAATATACAACAAATCAGACCTCAAAGCAAAGAAACATTACTATAAAAAGTGTACCTGTTTAATAATAAAAATTCAATTTTCTAGGTAGACAGAACATTTTAGTATATATGCATCTAAGAACAAAAGCTTCAAAACACTGACAGTACTACAGGGGGGAAATTTTAAATCCATGATCAATGCAGAGATTTTCAACATCTTCCAGTAATTAAGATCAAGCAGTCAAATGAGTAAGGATAAAAAGACTTTAATAAAATATAACAAGCTTGATTGAGATAATAGAGAAATCATGTATATTATTTTCAAGCATTCAGGGAATATTCAGAAAAACAACATAAAATATCAAGAAACACAAAGATTCTAGAATGCTCCTCATTCCCTGACCCATAAATCAAGCTAAATATTCTTATAATTAAAAACATCTACTTACTAGATTAAAAGGCTACTTCTAAATAATTCATAACAGAAATTAGAAAACACAGAAATCTAATAGTGAAAATAGTATATATAAGAACACATACCTAAAAAAATAGAAAGTCATGAAAAAGTATTCAGTGCTTACATAAGAAAGAAAAAAAGTCTGAAAGTAAACCTCTACCTATAAAAATATAGAACTGCCTAAAGTAGAAAGAAGAAAATAATAAACCATGTAGTAACATGAAATAATGAGGTAGAAAACAAAGATTCAGGGAGAGGACCAATAAAGCCAAAAGTTTCTTGGAAAAAAACAATAAAAGTGACAAAATTCTGGAAAAGGAAAAATAAAATCAGAATCTCTGAATATGAAGGCCTGGCATCAAATATATTGTAGACTCAACTAGGAAGCTATTATTTTGATACCAGAGTTTAGAAACTATCACTTATCATTTTTCTTAGTAACTTTACATCACATACAAATTATAAACTATCAAATTTCTACATAATTTCTCCTTTAATAAATATTTATTGAGTTGATGGGGCTTCCATGATAAATACATGTGATTCTTACTTTCATGGGGTTAAAGTCCAAAAGATAAAATATTAAGCAAAGAGATTTCATGCTCCCAAAGCAGGGGGCACAGGTTCAATCCCTGATCAGGGAACTAAGATCCCACATGAGATGCAGTGCCGTCAAAAAGAAAAAAAAAACACTCAAAGATTAACAAACTAATTTCATCACTGTTTAAAACAGGAAATTTAAAGGTATTGTCCAAAAACAGAAAGGCTTAAGAATACTACTGAGTGGCACAATAATAAAGGTAGCTATGACAAAGAAATCATATCACCTGCAAATCCTAAAATATTTACTTTTTGGCCCTTTAAGAAAAAGACTGTTGGCTCCAGAATTATGTATGTTAACAGAGTCAAGGAGAAATATATGTCACTATATCTCAATTTTTTTAAAAGAAGAAATACATTCCTCTCAAGAGAAGCATAGATAAATGATAAAATTCAATACTCATTCATGATTTAAAGAAAAGAACAGTAATAACTCTTGGTAAATTAGAACAGAAAAATAGTTCCTTAACCTGATAAAAGGTACAAAACCTGTGACAAATATCATTTTAATAGTGAAATATTACATCCATTCCCATTCAAGTCAAAAACGAGACAAGAATGTCTGCTATCCTCCCAACTCTTAATTATAATATCTGTATAGTCAGTAGGTCATGAAAAAGAGGTATAAGTATTGCAAAAGTGAGTCAAAATGGCCTTTCTTTAAAAATTATACAGTTCTGTAGAAAGTACACCACCAAGAATGAACCAGAATGTAAACCATAGGCTTTGGGTTGTTACGATATGCCAATGTAGGTCCATCAGTTGTAATGGACATTCCACTCTGGTGTGAGAGTTGACAGTGGTGGAGGCCATGCCTGTGTCAGGGCAAGGGGTATACATGAGACAGCTCTGTTCCTTCCTCTTAATTTTGCTATGAACCTAAAACTGCTCTGAACAATTAAGTCTTTTTAAAAGGCAATATACATGTAGTTATCTATAATACCTAAGTAGAAGTCTATAGACTAACCATTAAGAGTAATGAAAGAGCAGAGAGAAAGATCATTAGATTCAAAATCGACATACTAAAGTCAACTCAACACCTGGATGACAGGGCCAAGTCATCAGGGTGGCAAACAGTGGTTTCTGCATCCTTAGAAGGCAATTATGCTGGAGAGTTGGGGTGATGTTGGAAATAAGAGTGGGGCTTCCCATAGCAGATACCATCACCACCAATGCAATTCTTTCTGTGGAAAAACAGAGGTGACTCTTGCAGCCACACCCACCAAACATCTCCCAGACCATCCATATTCTTGAGTTTGTTAGACAGAATGGTAATTTATATGAAGTTTGTGTCAGTGATAACGTTCACTAAGCAATCAACCCAATTCTTTGAAGAATACCCAATTTTACTTTAAATATCTCCCCAATTATGCTCTCTCACATGCCCATGAGAGTGCATGCCAGATAATTCTTAATATCAAGAATTATTATTTATTTGGTTTCCATTTTTGTCAGTTTCCCTTTAAAATGAAAACAGCATGAGTGAAGTCAGGGACTGTGTTTTGTTCTCCCCTATATGGCTCAGATGGTAAAGAATCTGCCTGCAATGCAGGAGATGCAGGTTCAATCCCTGGGTGGGGAAGATTCCCTGAAGAAAGGAATGGCAGCCCACTCCAGTAATCTTGCCTAGAGAATTCCATGGACAGAGAAGCCTGGTGGGCTACGGTCCATGGGGTCACAAAGAGTCAGACATGACTAGGACATGACTAACACATAATCCTAGCACCTGTAATGGTGCCTGGAACATAACAGATTCTCAGTAAATATATTAAAAATTCAATGAAAAGGTGACCCCTTTGCTGAAGAATACAGGAATATATAAGAATATAATAACAATATATAAGAATGTTTTAACAGAAGATTTTAAAGGGTACATAGTAAAGTTACAGACCAAAGTACACATTCCTGCTTTTACTTCTTCCTACGGCTCTAAGTGTTGTTCTAACACTTTGTCCTCCCTACACTGGAGTCTTTATTTACAGTAAGGTAATTTATATAACGTATTATTTATCATCACCTGCAAGCTCATGGTAACAATGGAGTTATTGCAAGAGGTCTAAATTGACTGGCATGCTTTTTTTTTTCTTTTTCGACTGGCATGCTTTAAACTCACAGATATTCTAGGTAACATATTTGTCATTATTTATGACCTTGCTTAAGAAAGCAATTCAAGTTAATTCAATTAAAGTAATGCTCTGGCTTGGTGTTCTCCAACTGCATGATTCTTTAACTCCCTTTCCTCTCTTTCTAAAATTTGTAACATAAAACTTCTGATTAAAGCTCTGATTTGATCAGGGGGAAAAAAAGACATTCCCACACATTAATACAAACAAGGATTCCAGAAGACTCACGCATTTCTATGAACAGCTGCCTCTTCTCTGCCATGGTCTTCCGCTTGTTCCCACTTTCCTCAATCATCCTAGAGACAAAGAAGGATACAATCAGCAAATGTGTAAACAAATGTGTAATTTGACAATTCCAAGTGCTTATCAGTCTGCTGTGGAGAGGTACAGGAAACCAGGCTGTATACCCACACATTAAAAGGACACCCATAAAAGTCAAGTGGAAGCCCCAGGCAGAAAAAGACAAACTGCTGTCCCTTTATTTGACAGCTTCTAAAATATTATAAAGTCAATACTTAAACGAGCTCATACACTTGCTTCCTGTGCTGACAATATGGGGCCATGTCTTTTTTTTTTTTCCCCATGTCTTATTTTTAACTTTATTTTCTCTACAGAGTCCTGGATTAGTCGAGACAACTTCCCCATATTCCTACTGTTTTACATAGATAAATATGTTCTTAAAAATAATTTAGATAATAATTATAACAAAAGGCTATCATAATAAAAACATTAAGATAATTAGCTGACACATAAAAGATATAAATAAAATCTTTTATTTTTATATTAAAAAGTACTGAAAGAGGAATTCATGCACAAATTCAAAGAACTCCTAAACATGTCTTTAATCACATGACTTATACTATGCCAGTCACTTTGTTTAAAAATAAAACTCTTCCCATGCATTATCTCATTTAATTCTCCCAACAATTCTGAGTGCTGGCATTATTATTATCCCATTTTATAGATTAGAAAACAGATATCTAGAAAAGAACACTAACCTGCCCAAGGACACAGAATGCAGAAGCAATAAAGCAAAACTGCAACCCTTTCATTAAACTTCTTTCACAACTTCTGTTTCTAAATACATTTCAAATCTCTATGCTTAAAAGGCTAGAACACAATAGCCCACTGCATGGACCTTACTGATGTAAAATTTGTGATAATTTCAGCTAAACTCTGCCTTACTCTATGAAGTAAAAAATATCTACAAATAGCATATGCTAAATAATTCCCTAAGCAGATTAAACTACTGTAGATCATGCAGTTATTTACATAACATTCTCAAATGTGTTAGAATCATAAACTAAATGATGACTACACACATTACATATCCATTAAAACAAAGTGCCTGTGAAAGTTTAGTTATAGCCTAAAGAAAATTTAAAATGTAAATATATTCCTTAACATTCTGCAATTAATATTTTGATCATTAAAACTATCCCTTTCCTAAATCACTGTAATGTTACCAAACAGTAAGTGATGGTTACCTGACAATTTGCCCCCAAGAGGAAACAGTTTTAAACAGAAGGAAAGTAAGCAGAAGAAAAAGCAACCAGAAACAGCAAAAAAAAATCTAATGAAATCTAAGTCCTAGAGAAAAAGCAAGAGTTGGGACCAGTAGCCTGTAATTATAAAGAAAAAGGGTATTCAAAAACCTCCTCCCTCCTATCCAAAAACTTGGTCTCTCACTGTGTAATACAAAGTTTAAATGCTAAACACAAATTAAAATAGAGAATCATAATATCCTTTATAAAATATATAATTTATTGTATTTCTTCAACTTTTTTCTTTAAATCAATTTTTCCCAAAGTAGAATCTAAGAATTCCTGGAGATCCCTAAGTTCTTCAGGACAATTTTCTAAATTTTATCTTTATTTCCAGATTAATTTGAAAAAATTAATAAAAACATATTGCACCGCCAATGCCACTTCAGAGCCCACATCTACATGTAAGAATACTATAGCACTGCAAGCAAGAGGTCATGTAAAGCAGGGATAATTAAACTAGAGAAACTATACTACCCTGGACCAGATCTGACCTGTCACCTGTTTTTGCAAATAAAGTTTTATTGGAACACAGCCACACCTATTCATTTATCTATTGTCTATGGATGCTCTCATACTACAAAGGCTGAGTTGAGTGTTTTCAACAAAAAGCATCTGGCATGCAAAGTCTAAAATCTTTACTATCTGGTCCTTTAAGAAAGAGTATGCCAACCCAACCTAAAGCAACAGTAATTAATATTGCATTACTACAAACAACTGGCTCAGTTTGGTTAGCATGTTCCCATGTCAAAATGACAACAATCATCCCACATTTCACAGGGGTTTGAGTTTCACTTCCATTATCATAAGTTTATCCTTGGCAACTGCCTTATTAATTACTCTAAGATTCATTCTTCATTGCTGTATACATTTTAAATTGTGGTAGATATTGCCAAATTGCCCTCCAAAATGCTGTGTCAGTATACATTTACTAATAATCTTCCCCCAGGAAGTTTTAGATATTACTAAGGTAATCAGCACAAACTGACCTTGTGCATTTGTGCTCAGTCATGTAATCCAATAGACTCTTTGCAATCCAATGGACTGTAGCCTGCCAGGCTCCTCTGTCCGTGGAATTTCCCAGGCAAGAATACTGGAGCAAGTTGCCATTTCTTTCTCCAGAGGATCTTCCCAACCCAGCGATCAAACCCATATCTCCAGCATTGGCAGGAGATTTTTTTTTACCACTGAGCCACCTGGGAAGCCCTTACTCTCCCATCAAATTATACACCTGCACGGAATGTGTGCTGGAGTTATTTGAGGTTGGTGAAAGTAAATATCACCAGGTGGATTGGGAAAGAATACAACAGAATCCAAAATACCACCAAACAGCTGGTGAGTTTATCCTTTTTTCCCTCTTGAACCCCTGGCTTGAACTCATCATAGCATGAACCCCTGAACCTAGCACTGTGGGACACACACAGAGGAATCTGGGAAAAACCCTCTAGCTACAGCTTAAAGAGAAGAAAGAAGTCTAAAGCCCATCCAGAGAGAATGGGAGACTTCCCAGCACTTTTTTCCTCTCTCTTTTCTTCATTTTCTCCCACTCCAGCCAGGCAGTGGCAGTAGCCAGGCAGTGGCAGTATCAATAAAAGCAGCTACGCTGGGAAACTACAGGAGTCAAAAATTTGAAGAAAGATGTATCATCTAATCAGATGGCCTAATCAAAACCCCAGCAGAATTTTTTGTAAACATAGACAGTCCTAAATTTTATATGGAGAACCTAAAGGTACAGGCCAGATAAGAAACTCTGGAAAGGAAGAATAACATTGGAGGCACATACTATTCAATTTTAAGAATTATTAAAAAACAACAGTAATAAAGACAGTATGATATTGACAAAGGGACAAGTACACAGATCAACGAAACAGAACAGAATATGGATACAGAGGCACACAGATATGGTCACTTGATTTTTTTTTAAGATGCAAAAGAAATTCAATGAAAAAGGACAGTCTTGGTGTCAGAAAAACTGGTTATGCTTATGTCAAAAAGATGAACCTTGACCTATACCTCACACCATAAATAAAAATTAATTCAAAATGGAAGACAGACATAAATGTAAAAGTGTAAAAGAGAAAATCTTCATGGTCTGATACATCACTCTAAAAGCACAAAGAACAAAAGAAAATAATAATAACAAACCGGACATCACCAAAATTAAATACTTCTGTTCTATGAAAGAAACCAATAAGAAAACAAAAGCTACACCTTGGGAGAAAAATATCTGCAAATCACAGGTCTGACACAAGACTTGTATCCAGAAATACTTGTATGTATTTTTAGAAAAACTCTCAAAACCAAGCCAACATGCAAGAAAAGCTTGTTATTCAACAGAAGCCCCAATACTGACCTTATTTGTTAACTTAGCAGGTGCAATGGAAGTGCACCAGCAGGTGCACCTGCTGATATTCTGCCTTTATTCCATTACCCAAACTACTACCCTGATGCATAACTTATCAGCTTCCGGTTGCCAGTATTTGCATTTCTTTATTTGAGGCTTTTTCTGGCCATTGAAGGCTTTGACACCTGCAGTGCAGTCCAGAAGTACCAGGGGATTAACATCCCTGGACAGCAGTCCTCCCACTGATGGAAGTTAATATATAAATAATCCAGCTTCTTTACCTATCAGAGGGACTAACTCTGAGGCCATGTGTTCCACTGACTTCCTGAGCTCCCCTTTGGAATTAACTTTGCTCACCCATGGCAACTGATATGGGTGCTCATCTACTACTACTTTCTCTTCTCTGTCTCACTTCTCCACTCTTTCACCGGTATTTTCTAGGATCTAAAAAAGAAATTTTTTTTAAAAAATTGCACTTGAGTCCTTACAGATCATTTTCTTCTAGGGTAATCCAAAAGAAGACAGATTTGATCATGTAAAACAGACCTCTGAGATGAATTTGTAAGTGGATCACTCACCAAACAGACAACAAGGATCCCAGTGCTAGAAGTGGCTTGGTGAGAACCCCTGCTGTGCTACTGCATGGATAGTACTAAGATTCAATGTGGTGAAACTAGTAAGGGATACACTTAGAAGAAGATGACTGGCTTATGCAATAGCTTTCACATTTGAGAGAGGAGCATCAGGGATTTTAAAAACAATTAAATGGTTGAGCTTTTGTTAAGGACTGATGCACAGAGAAACAAAATATCAAGACTTAAATCAGTCAAGTACCAACTCAGAGCAAGGTATGACAGCCAGACGATCTCCATGGCAGCAATTTCTAAGGAACCCTCAGCTCCCACAACTTGAGGGCAGACTGTGCTAAAAATCACGCTCAAATTACGAAGGTAGGCAACTTAAAGAAGATTGAATTCACAGTCCAGCCAAGATTCTCCTGAACATTCTGGGGCAGAAGTAGCTCTCTTGCTCTTGCTACACGGGCTGTCTCCTCGGCCTGAAGCCCATGCAAAGACCTCATCTGAATGCATGCCTCAAAAGATGCTGACCCACCTTCCTCCCTGTTTCCAGGCTAATAACCAGGGTCCAGTCTCATTCACATCAACAGAACTGGAAGGGGCTGGCCCCACTTTGGATAGAATAGTGAGGATTCATCAAAACAGCTGCTGGACCTGACGATATGCACCAACAGGAACTGGAAGAACATACCTGGAATTGAAGAGTGTTCAACCTGAGCCAAGTGTAAGACAGGACAAAGTGTGCTGACATGGCAGCACTCGGCCCATGACCCAGGATTTAATGTTCTATAAAGAACACCTGGCACTAGTCCTAACATGCTGTAGACTAA